CATCAGTAGTGTGCATCTACAATGCCTGAAGGTTGCAGGAGTCGAACCCAGAACCTTCATGGTCTGAGGGCGAAGTAGTACTGCTGGCTACAGAGGGATGTGACAGCAGTAAGGTGTTTCCCTCGGACAACCAGCACCTTCAGCGATGCTGCCATCTCACAAAGGAAGGAAGAGGTTAGAAAAGGACGACCCTAAAAATGTCACACCTCACCTCACGGATTTCCGTCTCACGCGGTAAGGGTGCCCACCCACTAAGGGCTTTCAAGAGCGTAGTTAATGCTAAAAAAACCTTTCATAAAAAGGTCGTGCGTGACCGGTCTGAAGCAGTTGTCCGTTGGGCATTGCGGTCACGCACCCAGGTTTGTAAGACCAAAACTAATCTATCTTCCTTTTCAGGTCCCTCAAGTAACAACCTTCCACGGTATGGGCAACCGGGAAAGTGACAACCGCCGTTATACCCGTAACAGCACGTGAGACCAAATTGGTCAAAATCAAATCCTTCCCACACCCCCTAATACCCAGGACCTTCGGTGTTGCGTGTGAATGTCTAGACACTTAGCCGAACACACACTGCTGATCAATCGCCAGACCAAGAAGAAACGGTCATTCATTGCTTCCAGTTTTCTAATGATGGTCTAACATTGATCGAGTCATGATTTTAAAAGATTGTTTGTCTATTGAATATTGAACGGTATTACAAATAAGGTCACTTACACTTTTTTTTAGTATTAATGTTTAAAATGTTATTTGTTGTTTTTCTCTCTCTTTGTATTTTCTAAAAAGAAAAACAAATCTGTTCAATGTATATTGACAGGAAACGAACTAGTCTTGACGCATTTAAACAAAAATGTCATTTATATTGTTACTGTTTTAGTTTGTTATGTTTTTTGCAACTGTCCAATAAAAACTGATTACCAAATTAACAAAAAAATGACAGACAAATATGTGGATTCTCTCATGGGGATAAACTACAACATACTACTACTACTACTACTTACTACTAATTATCATCAATATGATACAAAGCATGATTAGTGATAAGGTTTTGATTGAAAGGTTAAACTAGAGAAAATATCAATGTGCGTGTGTGTACGTGTGTGTGTCAATAACGAACATTTCTTCTTCTTGTTCTTCTATAATCAATCAAATTCAGTGTTGAAAATATTTTCCCTACAAGAAAAAACAATCTATTCGTTTAGGTCATGTGATCGTATTGATTTTTTCTTGACTAGGTCAATATGATAGATATGGATCTATTCGTTTAATTAATCAATAGATGTGAATTCACTGTGTTTGGGAATTTCCAATTGACATTATTTAAAAAAGAAAGCGATTGTTTTGAATGATCTACAGAGATAGAGAGAGAGAGTTGAACTAATAGTGTGGTGCGCGCTACTTATAAGTAGTATATGACGTGAGTGTAAACGTAATGTCTGGCAGCAGAAGATGTGGGGAAGATCAAGAAAGGAAGAGTGGGGGGAACACAATGGAATTTGTATGAAATAGCATGAATAGTGAGTGAAATGTCAGACAATGGATTGATGACAGATTGAAGATTTTATATTTTTGAAACCATGAATCGATCGATGTTAGACCAAATATTAGAAACCTGGAAGTACTGAAAGACGGCCGTTTCGTCCTGGTATGGAACTCCTCAGTGGCAGTGCGCATCCACGACCCCTGCGCCCCGAAAGGTTCGAACCCAGGACCTTCGGTTGTGTGCGCGAACGCTCTAACCGTTAGACCACTGAGGCGGTATCCAACGGTGTTAATGTCTAACATTGATCGATTCATGGTTTCAAAAATGTGTAACTTAACAATCTTCACAACCCCGTAATGCAAATTACCTGTGCTCACTAGTGACTAGATTCGTGAGGAATCTTCTCCGAGTTCTAGTGGGAAGACGTGACCAGTGAAGTTCAACCTGTTCAGGTGTAGACAGTAACTACCGAAGACTGTGTATGAGGTTGGGCAACTCCGTGAAATTGATCAAGTTAGACATTAACACCGTTAGATACAGGCTCAGTAGTCTAACGGTTAGGCGTTCGCGCGCAATACCGGAGGTCCTGGTTTCAAATCCTGTGAGGTGCAGGAGTCGTGTATGCGCACTGCCACTGAGGAGTCCTATACCAGAACGAAACGGCTGTCTTTCAGTGCTTCCAGGTTTCTAGTGGTGGTCTAACATCGATCGATTCATGGTTTCAAAAATGTGTAACTTAACAATCTTCACATCCCCGTAATGCGGATTGAAGATTTGCAAATTAACCGTTTACACGATATGGTTTTCCCTGTTTTACTGAATAACTCTGTAATTTTCGTTTCAATACAATTTGGTTGCCCTCACCTGTGTTCTCCTTCACTGCAATAGTAGTAACGTATTAGTTTTTTGAATTCAATACAACAAAGTATTAAAAAAAATTTAAAACAATAAGTCTCTTTGTTTTTAGAACACAGTGGTGAGAAGACGTAATTGATTTCAAAAAATATTTGTGATGTATTTGCACCTTATACATTTCAAACAATCTTCATATAAAAAAATGCCTTACTTGACAAGTGTGTGTTTGTGTGTGTGTGTGTGTGTGTGTGACCAGATTGTTCGAAAATGTGTATAAAGCGCAAATACATCATAACATTTTTACAGATCAATTACGTTTTCGCACTGTTCTATCATAAACAAAGAATTAGTTTTTTTTTTCAAAATTAGATAACATCAACCAACGAAATAACTACCTAAGTTTATAGTCACAGGGGAATAAGTCTAACTAATATAATTTTTAAATTGTTAGCCTCCATTATAGTTAGACGTCTAACTAGAACTCGTGAAGAGCAGGCTCGAGAAAACCAGGCTGGTTTCAGACCTGGACGTGGTTGTATAGACCACATCTTCACACTCAGACAGGTCCTGGAACACAGACACACATTTAAACGTCCGACAGTAGTTGTGTTCCTGGACCTAAAAGTGGCATTTGACTCTTTGGATCGTCAGGTTCTGTGGCAGTGTCTGTTATTGAAACGTGTACCAAAGAAGTACATTAACCTTATACAAGCACTCTACTCGAACACCACTGGTCGAGTGAGAGCATATGGCGAACTGTCATCTGAATTCTCTACATCAAGTGGTGTCCGTCAGGGCTTACTGATCTAGAATATGCCGATGACATAGTTCTATTCGGTGAAGACGCTGACAAAATGCAGAGTCTTCTGACTACCATAAGCAACAATGCGAGCATGTTCGGGATGCGGTTTTCCCCCTCGAAATGCAAAATGTTGCTTCAAGACTGGGTTGCATCGGCACCTGGACTAGTGATAGGGAGTGAAGTAGTCGAGCGTGTTGATCACTTCACTTATCTCGGAAGTCCCATCAATGCTGAAAGCCTAGTGACTGACGAAATCTCAGCACGGATACAGAAGGCTCGACTGGCTTGTGCCAACCTGCGTCACTTATGGCACAGACAAGCTATCCGTTTGCTGACTAAAGGATGAGTGTACTGCGCAGCAGTTCGCTCCCTTCTCCTTTATGGATGAGAAAGATGTCCGTTAAGAGTAGAGAACTTTCGTAGGTTACTAGTATTCGACCATAGATGTCTTAGAAGCATTGCTCGTATATCGTGAGACAACCGAATAAGCAATGCTGTCGTTAGGAAACGACTTCTAGTTAAGGATGTCTGGTCAATAGATGAAGTATTGAAACTTCATCAGTTGAGGTTGTTGGGATATGTGTTACATATGGCTAACCACCGACTGCCTCGACGAGCTATGTTTTGTGGTGTAGGAGTAGTTTGGAAGAAAGTTATGGGCGGGCAGACCAAAACATGGCAAAAATGCATGAAGTTACTTAAAAGTGGACTGAGTCATGTTGGTAGATGTAGACTACCTGGTTGGGGTCCGCGAGACTGAAGTCATCAACGGTTAGAGACCTTGAACGACATGGCTCGAAATCGTTTGCAATGGCGCAGGTGCATTCATTCGTTGTGCTCTCTCAAATCCTAATCTTCGGGATTCGTCCGTACCTTTATCTTTGACTTTCTAAATTTATCTCACTGAATTATACTTCTCGAATCATATCTTCGCTCCGCAATCTTCTACAATACCACGAATACTTCTACTATCTCTAGCACTGTGAGATTTGATTTAACATTTGCGTCTCTGTGCTAGTGCGGTAAGGCAAGCTGAACTGATGTACTTACGTACGAAGTTCTGCATTGCAACTGACTGAACTGACTGACCTAAGTTTACTGAGATTCCTGTTAATCAACTTATATTTGAACGTGCAATGTGATGTCATACGATATCATATGATATATAGTTCACATAGGATAACTATGGTTAAAGTATCCATATTTGTTCATTCATGACACAGTATTACACATCTTTTCGCGGTTTAATGATCATAAAATTTATGAATGAAATGTGTTCATAATTTATTACAGGTATTTTCCTACTACTGGTATTTTCCTACTCTTCATTTGAGATATGTGTCATGTTACTTTTTTATGGTTTGATGAATTGGAATGGCCAATTGATTATTTATTCAAATTTTTCTCTCTCCTGATGCGCTTTTATACTCATTTATGTTGGGGACGGTTAGATCCCCAGCACTCACTTGGAATTTTATTCTGAAATTCTGAATTTCTGAGTATTCGCGCCAGTTGACCTTCAGCTTACAATTCCCACTCGTAAAATCTTTAACTGTCATTGGTTGATGGAATATTTTAGTACGCTGTTTTGTTACTCTCCTAAGGGTGTCTCTAGGATTGTATAGATAAGCTTGATTTGTATGCTTAGACACGTCGTATTTTCTGGTTGCTTGTAGAATACATTCTCTGCGCCTCGTCAAGACTTCTTGCTTATGTTAGGAAGGCCGGGGACAATCAAATTAGAATAGCCTATCGTGTCAGTGAGTCATTGCTCTTCGTTCCATTTTTTCGAGTAAGGTGAACTTGTGATAACATTTGACAATATTTTATCTTGTTACTATTATTTTTTATTCCTCTAAAAAGGAACATGGATTAGAACCAGTAACAATTGATACTCTACTATCTACTACACCTGGACAAACTATCTCACCGAATTCATTTACTCCATCAACATATGAACGACGTATATGTCCACCAGGTGTTGATTATGGTCGTCAATATCCAATCTCTTATCTTCAATTATCTGAACAAGGTTTTACAGCAATAATGAGTAATGAAGAGTTAAATCATGATGACATTGATCATGGACATCGATCTAGATCATTAGCCAGATCGAATCATTATAATTCATCGTATGCCGCTGGATCTACAACAAATAATCAACATATATCAAGACGTGATATAGTAGTACGTTCAGCAACAAGTAGTTCTATACCACCATTAAGACATTTAAATAATGGTGAATTACAAAAACACATCAATGAATATAGTCCATCGAAATTGCCAAGTTATACTAGTGGTGGTGTAGTGTCGAGTACACCGATTTCACTAACTGGTCGACCTAAACGTGATTTGTACATTCGACAACGTCAACTTTCACCAGGTTCCACTTCACTCGGTTCTGGTGTTATGGGTTTTCGTCGATCAGAACGTATAATGAATTCATCTACATTGCCACCAGGATCAGAAAATATACGTCGATCAACAGGTTAGTTAGTTAGTTAGTTCGTTAGTTATAAACCTAAATAATTAGTCGGTATTTAATTCTATTTAAAGATGTCAATTTAGAGGTGACTTCAAGCTTTTATTTAATGAGTTTTTTGTGAAATATAAAGATTGCGTTTTTGTACTAAATGTCTTTGTACAGTTAAGCGTGAAGAAAATTACCTCTACTTCTAGAAATGCTCAAATATGATCATCACCCGTGTATAGCCATTGACAGGGCAGTTCACGTCATTATCTTAACGTGGTGTGGATGCTGTTTACAAAGTTAAGAGGACGAAAGGTGAAGATTCGGTGCTGTAACCAGGTTGGCGGGGGATCCGCCTTGGGGAGTTGAAAAATCATTATTCAAGGTCTATGGGGCATATGGGCTCCAGGATCCTAAGGGAACAAATGGAGTATTAATTGGGACATGTATTACATATGCCTAACGTCGCACACCTCGACGTAAGATAGGAGCCTGTTATTCCTAATGGATCAAAGGCCGTCAGCCAGTATTCTCCAATCAACTGTGTGCTGGGCCTTCTTTTCCAAGTCCAACCGATTGCTATTCATTCATGTTTGACTCTGATTTGTGGTGTAATATGTTCCTTGGTCTACCTCTTTTTATTTGACCTTGAGGATCCACAGTTATGGGTCCTATGCACCTTCAGTGCATTTCCCTAATTCCTTCCTCAGCTACCATCTGGTTTGTTCTATCCCCTAGTAGGCTGTTGCTAATGCTGTCTGACCAACAGATGAGTAGTATCTTGCGTATACAACTGTTATTAAACATCTGTAATTTTTGGATGATGGCTATTGTGTAGTTCTCTAAGTTTTCTCTATAAAAGTTCTAACTTTGGTGTTAGTTGAGAGTTGTTTTGCATTCTAGTTGTTCTTCAGTCGTAAAAATACTGCCACAGATATAGGCACAGCCTACTGACTTTGAAATATATTGTTGCCTTCAGTCTAATTGATATCTACTTTGGACCAAGTTTGACTCATTGTTCCACAAAAATACTGTTCATCGCTTATATATAACGTGATCTGTGTGATGTGATCTAGTCTCTGTGTAGTGTGTCGTTTGAGCAGTATCCAATCGAGTGATAGTATAAACTTCTGATCATCTAACACGTCGTTCGCTGTCTAATGTTACTTTAGATAAAAATAAAGTATTACGTGGTTGTGAAGTTACGCATTTTTTGAAATCATGAACCGATCAATGTTAGACCACCATTAGAAACCCGGAAGCACTGAAACACGGCCATTTCGTGCTGCTATGGGACTCATCAGTGGCAGTGCGCATCCAAGACTCCTGCACCTCGCAGGATTCGAACCCCGGACTTTCGGTATTGTGCACGAACGCCCTAACCGTCCAGTGCTTCCATGTTTCTAATGGTGGTCTAACATTGATATCGATTCATGGTTTCAAAAAATCAAGTACTTCAAAACCCTCAATATTGTAATCAGAACAATAGTAATCTCTTCAGTATTCAATTATGCGTTACGGTTTTCCTGTGTACTCATTAGAAATCAAATTTATTGAAGGGCTTACTTTACCATTGTTCGTCCTCTTTTTCTCTGATTAAATCCTGGTCTGATTTCAATGGACACGTTTATTTTTTGGTTTCTAATATTTTGAAAACGAAAATTATTTTCTTTTTTTTTATTAATAAAAAAAACTTTTCATAAAGACGCCATTTATTTTTTATTTTTCTCGATTGAATAATGATTGAAAATATTTTATTTAACGTTTATAACCACCTACAAACCAAATACTGGTTTACTTACATACAATCACGTTTTGTTCGCGTAATATATGTGATCGACAAATGCGAACTGCTATCGTTTGCATATTGTAAATAATCATTTTCGATATCAGACAGTATGGAAAGTTTATGAAGTGTAAACCTTCAATTTTCATGATCTAATATTTTGATGTAGTAGGAGGTGGTAGTCAGTTCCTCTGCCATGTTCAGCGATTCATTGGTGATGGGTCGGTCAGTAACGACTAAGCACCAAGATGTGAAATTTTGTTTAGTGTTTCTATTGAACAACTAGGTTATTTGACCAATAGTCTGTTGACTTATTTTCCCATAGTCATGATGTGGTGCGCACTACTTATAAGTAGTATATGATCAAATATGTTTCATAATGTGCTTGTCAACACTGGAGCGCAGTACCATTGTAGTGAAGAAGAACATAGGTGAGGGCAACCGAATTGTAATTACCTAAAATTACAGAGTTACTCAGTAAAATAGGAAAACCATATCGTAAACGCGTAATTTGCAAAACATCAATCCATTGTCTGACATTTCACTATTCATGCGTTTCATACAAATTCCATTGTGTTCCTCCCACTCTTCCTTTCTTGATCTCCCCCCGTCTTCTGCTGCCAGACATTAAGTTGAAACTCAAGTCATATACTACTTATAAGTAGCTCGCACCACAAGTTGACTCAAATTTTCAATTTTTTGTCTTAATCAAATCTCTTCATTATTTTATTTGAATGGTGTTGTTGTTGATGATGATGACAGTAGATAATACCGCGTAGCATGACATTTGTCAAATCATAACTAATTTCTTTTTGTGATTCACAAATTTTCAATTCAGTTATTTTAATAGAAAATGTCTATTTATTTTTTGTTTTTCTCTGTTTAGGTCGTTACTCATATCGATCCACACCGAATGTAACTGGAAAACGTGGTACGTCTTATTATTATTATTATTAGTGCTATCATTATTACATTGTACACACACACACACTTTTCAAGCTTTTTACGCTGGTTTCTCCTGTTTTCTTGGAACTTAAGGCGGCATTTGACTCAGTGGATCGTGAGGTTCTGTGGTATTGTCTGTCATTGAAAGGTGTACCAAAGAAGTACATTAACCTTGTACAGGCTCACTACACGAACAGCACTGGTCGAATAAGAGCTTTTGGCGAAAAGTTATCGGAATTCTTCACTCCAAGTGGTGTCCGTCAGGGATGTCCACTCTCGCCATTCTTGTTCAATTTTGTCGTAGACATCCTCTTGGATTTAACATGAAGCTCGTCAGATTTTTCAGGGGTTGACCTTCTACCAGGAAAGTCGCTTACTTATCTAGAATACACCGATGACATAGTTCTATTCGGTGAAGACGCTGACAAAATGCAGTCTTCTGACCATCCTAAGCAACAATGCAAGCATGTTCGGGATGCGGTTCTCACCCTCGAAATGCAAAATGTTGCTTCAAGACTGGGTTGCATTGGCACCTGAACTGGTGATAGGGAGTGATGCAGTCGAGCGTGTAGACCATTTCACTTATCTGGGGAGTCTCATTATCTCTGATAGCCTGGTTTGTGACGAAATCTCAGCACGGATAATGAAAGCTCGATTTACTTTTGCCAGTTTACGCCGTTTATGGTGTAGTCGAGATATCCGTTCACTAACCAAAGGACGAGTCTGCTGCGCAGCAGTTCGCTACGTTCTCCTATGTGGATGCGAAACATGGCCAAATAGAGTAGAAGATATTTGTAGGTTACTAGTATTCGATCATCGGTGTCTTCGAAGCATTGCTCGTATATCGTGGGACACCCGAGTGAGCAACGCTGTGTTATTAGGAAACGGGTGCTAGGTAAGAATGGTAGATCAATAGATGAAGTGGTGAAACTTCATCAGTTGAGGTGGTTAGGACATGTGTAACGTATGCCTAACCACCGATTGCCTCGACGAGCTATGTTTTGTAGTGTAGGAATAGGTTGGAATAAAGGTAGGGGCGGCCAGACCAAAACATGGCAGAAATCCATGAAATCATTGACAAGTGGACTGAGTCCTGTTGATAGATGTAGGCTACCTTGTTAGGGTCCGCGAGACGAAAGTCACCAATGGTTTGAGACCTTGAACTACATGGCTCAGAATCGTTTGCAATGGCGCAGGTGCATCCACTCTTTGTGTTCTCTCAAATCCTAATCTTCTGGATTCGTCAGCACCTCTAGTTTTGACTTTCTCAAGTTATCTCACTGAACCATACTTCTTGAATAATATATTCTAATACCTTTACTACCTCTACTACTATTATGGGATTTGAATTGACAATTACATCTCTGTGCTGATACGGTATGGCAGCATGAACTGATGTACTTACATACGAAGTTGTACGTTGCGATGTACTGACTGAATGGAATGAACTTCAACTCTGAAATACCAGTACAACCAGCTGACGCATCCCAAACAAATTGAAACACCCGTCCACTGTTAGCTTACTATTCAGCTCTGTTGATAACTTTCAATCTTTTCTCATGATGAAATCACGTCTAAAGCTTTTTCTTCATAAAAGTCTAACTAGAATCATACACACGCACACACTTCTAACCGTCCATACAGTTATTAATAATGTACACGGTCTGTGTTTGTATGTGTATTCCTGTATACAGTGTATTCTACTTTGGATACTTACTATTCAAATGATGAACGTGTACATGCAAGTATCAGGAGTTGTGGATGTGCACTGACACTGATGAGTCCCTATACCAGGATGAAACAGTTATTGCTCAGTGTTTGCTAGCATCTAATGGTAATCTAACAATGATGATCGATTGATAGTTTCAGCAATAAACAGCAACTCTATGATGAAAAGTAGGTTGTAACTACATTCACACACACACAAAGACACACACACGTGTTTACCCATGCATATTCGACGATAATCATAGATCATGAACAAATCAATGTCAATATATCAACATACACACCCACCCATACCTACATACACTGATTCGGTTTATCAGGCAACTGAACTACTAATTTTTTTCAATTCAAATAATAATAATAATCATAATAATTGGAATGTTTGTAGTGGTGGTGGTCAGTTATAATAATGATACGATGACCTCTTATGAGTGTACATTTACGTGTACATCTTATCACTCACTCACTCACTCACTCACTCAATATCTTCTTTTCTTCATCTCCTTAAATCATCTTATCCACCACTAATGTGGTATAAAACATGGAAATTCGTTGCATTGTTCATATCTCCTCTCTCCCACCCCATGGTTGATCAATAATTATGTATGTATGTAGTATGTATACAGCGTAATTATTATTTTTGTGTTACAAATAAATCAGAATGAATTAAATTTAATTATTTAATTTGTTATTTAATAACTCGTTGGTGTGTGTGTGTGTATGTACATCGGTGTGCGTATGTGTGTGTGTGTGTGTAAGCAGTGTTTACCTGCCAATTAACTTACTGACTATGTATATGATATACTCATTGTCTTTTATTCAATTTGATTTGATTTTCACGTTGTGTTACGTACGCATCAATAGACAAAGAGTTCATCACATTATAGCGCGCTTCATTGTTTAAATGATTTATTTATTTAAGGGATTATTAGTTCAATGATATATAATTAGTTAATTATATAACAGTAAGTATATATTTTAATTAGATTAACACTAAAAATACTTACAATGATTTCATTGTCAACAATGAAGTATTCTCTCATCGTCATCATCGTTATCATGATTGATCATGTGGTATGTGTTGTGATTGTAGGTTAGATCGTACGTAAGTTACTAGTATTCGATCATAGATGTCTTAGAAGCATTGCTCGTATAACATAGGACGACCGAGTAAGCAATGCTATCGTTAGGAAATGCGACCGAGTAAGCAATGCTATCGTTAGGAAATGAGTTCTAGTTAAGGATGGCAATTCAATACATGAAGTGCTGAAACTTCATCACTTGACGGGGTTGGGACATGTGTAACGTATGGCTAACCACCGACTGCCTCGACGAGCTATGTTTTGTGGTGTAGGAGTAGGTTGGAAGAAAGCTAGGGGCGGCCAAACCAAAACATGGCAGAAATCCATGAAGTCACTGACAAGTTGACTGAGTCATGTTGGTAGATGTAGTCTACCACCTGGTTGGGATCTGTGAGACGAAAGTCACCAATGGTTAGAGACCTTGAACGACATGGCTCAAAATCGTTTGCAATGGCGCAAGTGCATCCATTCGTTGTGCTCTCTCAAATCCTAATCTTCTGAATTCCTCATCACCTCTATCTTTGTCCGTCTAAATTTATCTCACTGAATTATACTTCTTGAATAATAATATCTTCAAACCCATAGTCTTCTTTATGACCATTAGTACCTCTACTATCTGTACTATCACTATGGGATTTGATTTAACATCTGCGTCTTTGTGCTAATGTGTAGTATGCATTACGGGGTTGTGAAGATTGTTATGTTACACATTTTTTGAAACCATGAATCGATCAATGTTAGACAACCATTAGAAACCTGAAAGCACTGCAAGACGGCCGTTTCGTCTCCCCGTGAATTTGATCAAGTTAGACATTAACACCGTTAGATACCGGCTCAGTGTTCTAACGATTAGTGCGTTCGCGCACACTACCGGAGGTCCTGGGTTCGAATCCTGTGGGGTGCAGGAGTCGTAGATGCGCACTGCCACTGAGGAGTCCCATAACAGGACGAAACGGCCGTCTTTCAGTGCTTCCATGTTTGTAATGACGGTCTAACATTAATCGGTTCATGGTTTCAAAAAATGTGTAGTATGGCAGCAACATGAACTGATGTACTTGCGTACGTCCGAAGTTCTTACGTTGCAAATGACGGACTGACTAAGTTGATATTCATTTTAAATAATCGATCATTAGGTAGATATATATATTTCTCACTATGGATTCGGTTTTTTGTCTCTTTTACGCTTTCTCTCTCTGTCTCCTTGATACTTTCGAAAAACAGTTAGTTAGTTAGTTAGTGTTATTCATTGGAAAGTTTTGTTGAATTATTGATTTTCTTCCAATTCAGAATTGTTACTGTCATTTAAAAAAATATCATTTAATTCCTAAATAAATAATACAGCAATAGAAATAAGACACACACACATTTTTTTTCTTATTAAATAGTAAAGAAAATTGGTCAAATTCTTGGAATTTATCCAAATTTTGCTTTTCCCGCTTTCTATCAATGAATGACAGACACACAAACAAACAAATTATTTATCCAAAAATGAAATAGCCTTAACATTGATTTGATTTGCAAAAGGTTTACGAACAGAATATGATTCAATGTGAATATAGTCTACATTGCAGATTGAGAATACACTAAGACACGCCAACTCGATATACTTGAACTATTACGAGTTTACCCTAGTCGGAAACGAGAGCAAGGATCGAGGATCCGGTGACACGACATACTACTCAAATCCGATTATCCCAATCCCCATATTGAGTAAAAATAAGAAGACGTGATGTGAAGTAGTACATGTATTCTACAAGCATCCAGAAAGTACGAGGCCTGAATTCAGAAGAGAATCAGGATCACGAACTAGGGTCCTGGTCATAAAACGTAACAGAAAATGCGTATTCATAAATTTTGGTCGAATGAAAAACAGCATCGAAGTCTGTGACATTGACAGTTAAGACGACCAATAGGAAGCAACATTTGGAGTGACATTGATAGTCAGGACAACCGATAAGAACAACATTGGAGTATTTGTGATAAGTTCGTCACTTAGTATGCTTGAGGCTATTACGAGTTTACCTTAGTCGATAAACGCGAACGAGACTTTTACCAGCTTACAGGGAGGCTACATTGAATCCGAGGCTGGAGTGAAAAGGCTTTGTAAACCTTGAAAGTATATTCTACAAACAGCAAGCAATCACAGTATAATCAAGCATACAACTCTCGTTTATTTATACAACATAAGAACGTCCCTGAGAAGAGTTAAGAAAAAAGCATACTGAAATAAACAGCAGCGAATGACAGCCATGGATCTTCCAGGAAGGACTTTAAAACTCAAGGTCATTTGATCAGCCCATGCCCGCAAAATGTGAAAACCAAAATACGGCATTATCAAGCGAATTTTGGGGATCTAACATCCCCAACACTCCTCCCCTTTTTAATAGCGTGTTCTCCTGGGGTCGACTTGCATCTTGACTATTGTTCGCCGCTGTCTGAGAGGATACCTTCAGGAACGAAGAACAGCTTGCTGCTCAGTTTCTTCTCGTGGCGGGGCTCTCGGTAGGTTGAAGGTATCAAGCAAGATGTCAAGGGGAAGGCTTTCTGCTCTTGATGGGCGATCTGGGGCTAGCCGTCTGCGTATCTGATTCCGATGACGTGACCATTTATCACCTCCTACCTCTACTTCGTACATAACTCGACCAACCCTTCTGACCACTCTCGCTTCTACCCAAGGACCATGGTTCGTTCTGTAGTCGCGGGCAAACACAGGGCATCCTACATCGTAAGCGGATTGTCTTTGCTGCTTTGTCTCTACTGATGTGGGTGCATTAGTCGGATGCATCAGGCTGTGGATCGTTTTCAATCTTCTTCCCATCAGGATTTCAGCTGGGGACTTTTGCTCCGGTAACAATCCATTTGTTGTTGTCCGATAGACGTACAAGAAATTTTGTAACGCTTCGGCTGGTGTCCCCTCCCCTCCCCAACAATTTGACTTTGACAATTATAACGACCATAATTTTGACCAATAGGAATCGATCAATAGAATTTGACCAATAATTCTATTAGGATATTGGATGAATATCCTAACAGATATTTGCGACTTATCATGAATATTCTCTATCTAGACCACGTTATTAAATTTAAATTCAAAGCTTTATTAAAGTACCGTTAAAAATGACAACAACAACACACAACATTAATTGGACACTGAATATGCGGCATGTTCACAGCACTTTGTTCCCCTAATCTTCAAATGGTTGGTTAGATAGGAGCTGTCACTGACAAGTGAACTGAGTCATGTTAGTAGATGTAGACTGGACTGCCTGGATGTTGTCTACGAGATGATAGTACTTGTGAATTACTAATTACGCTTTTTCTGAATATGAATATGAATACTTGAACTGTACACTAATACAGATCATATCATATAAATCAGATATCATAATTTCATGACCAAAACAAGGAATCAAAATGAGCAATGGCGGCAGTATTTCATTCCACACATTGACAAGCATTCAGTGAATGCGTTTCAGTGGATCTGCAGTAGAAATTATGATCAGAGTGAAGGAAACCACATATCTCAATAGATTGTAGGCATTGCCTGCTTGATGACCAATTACATTTTACTCTCAGTAACGTGACATCACTAAAGAATTAATACTCTTGTAAGTATTTAGAAATAAGGCTATAACACAATCAATGTGTTGTTCCGATAGAACCCCAATCAGCTAATCATTGTATTTCTCAACAGAAGTTCTCAAATACTCACCAGTCAGTCAGTGCAACGTAGAACTTCGTACGTAAGTTCATCAGTTCATGTTGCCATATCACATTATCACAGAGATATAATTGACAATTCAAATCCCATAGCAGTGAAGATAGTAGAAGTACTACTGGTAATAGATAGGATTAGGTTTTCAAGATATTCAAGAAGTATAATTCAGTGAGATAGGTTTAGAAAGAGAAAAGTAGAACTGTTGACGGATCCAGAAGATTAAGATTTGAGAGAACACAAAGAATGAATGCACCTGCACCATTGCAAATGATTTTGAGCCATGTCATTCAAGGTCTCTAATGATTGGTTACTATCGTCTCGTGGACACCAACTACGTAGCCTGCATCTACCAACATGACTCAGTCCCTACCATCTCAACTGATAAAGTTTCATTACTTCAGCTATTGATCTGCCATCCTTCTTAGATAATACTTGTGTCTTAACAATATTGCTTGCTTGGTGGTTCAAAGATCAACTAGCTATCCATCAAAGACTCCTATAATCGAATACTAATAACCTAAGAATATCCTCTATTTTTTAGTGGCCATGTGTCGCATCCATATAGTAGAACGGAGCGAACTGATTGATGCTCAGTAGGACTAATCGTTTAATTAGCAAACAAATATCTCGCCTAACCATTCTCATTCTCAATAAATAAAGAAAGTAAAGACCACGTAACACATATTCATGTTTGACTTAACAAGAGTTTATTGTTGATAAATGTCTTGAGGGACTTGAAAAAGAAGATAGATTAGTGTTGGTCTTGGAGACCTGGAAGCGTGACCGCAGAACCCAAGGGACAACTGCTTGAGGCCGGTCACGCACGGCCTTTTTATGAGAGTTTTTTTGAGTATTACCTCCGCTCTTAAAAGCCCTTAGTGGGCACTCTTACCGACGGAGACGGAAGTCTGTGAGGTAGGGTAAGGTGTGACATTTTTAGGGTCGAACTTTTCTAACCCTTCCTTACTTGTGAGAAGGCGGCATCGCTGTAGATGCTGGTTATCCGAGGGAAACACCTTACTGCTATTACACATCTCTGCATTCAGCAGTACGACTTTGCCCTCAGACCTTGAATAGCTGCTTTTAGTCTCATCGTTCTCCATTGGACCTGCCTGGTATGGTAGAACCTTGAGAAACATATATTCCAACCAATATAGCTCGTAGTTGGGTCGTCATGATAGTCAAGTCCGACCACCATATCAAGGTAGCTGTTACAGTCGAGGTATGTCAACATGAACTGATGATGTTCTACATTGCATCTGACTGACTGACTGAATAAATGTCTTAGGGTATCTCTATTTAAGTAGTATATAAGTAGTATAATAAACGGTGTTTAGTAGTTGTTTATCATTAGCATGAATGAAGTGACATTTTAATTTTTTTTGTACATGTAAAGTTGATTATTCACTGTTTATTGTTTTTCATTTTTCATTTTCATGATCATCATGGCGGTGGGGTGCTGCTTATCAATGTTGACACTATTTATTCACTTACACAGGAATGACTCAGTTAGGTGAGTGAGTTCGATTTGATTGAACCTTTTTTTGATTCATCCAAACTGTATACATATATATGTACACTGTTTCATTCTTATTTGTGCATATATTGTTGATGTTCATGTTGTTGTGGTTGTCAGATTGATTTTGACGAAAAATAACCGTTTTACCTAATGCATGTCGATTTTTTTTATTTTATTTTTGTCTAATAATTGTGATTTTTTGTTTTACTAGTCTGTAACCTTTTTTAATTGGTTTTCGACTAAACTAAACAGCGTCTATGTATGTGTGTGTGTGTGCGCGACAGCCAGTAAACAAAACTATGAAGCTTCATCACTTTAGGTCGAATAGCTCATTATGATTAGTTAGTGATTGAATGTTGTAAAAAGTTATAAAAAAAATCATTTCACATTGTGTATACTACTGACTTACGTACTTACTTATGCCTGTTACCCCCAATGGAGCATAGGCCGCCTACCAGTTTTCTCCAACCAACTCTGTCTGTCCTGGGCTTCCCTTTCTAGTTCTGTCCAATGTTTGTTCATTCCTCTCATATCTTTCTTTATTTCTCGGCGTAATGTGTTTTGTGGCCTTCCTCTTTTCCTTTGACCTTGAGGGTTCCATGTGAGAGCTTGTCTCGTGTGTGTCCTATCCACTTCCACCGCCCCTTCCTGATTTCCTCCTCCAGTCAGTCAGTCAGTCAGTTGCAACGTAGAACTTCGTACGTAAGTACATCAGATCATCTCGCCATACCACATCAGCACTGAGATATAATTGTCAATTCAAATCCAATAGTAGAAGAGGTAGTTAAGGTATTAGAAGTAATAGGAGGGGTTAGGGTTAGAGGATATTATTCAAGAAGTATGATTCAATGAGATAAGTTTAGAAAGTAAAAACTAGAGGTGTTGAAGAACCCAGAAGATTAGGATTTGAGAGAACACAAAGAATAAATGCACTGGCGCCATTGCGAACGATTTTGAGCCATGTCATTGACGGTCTCTAACCATCGATTATTATCATCTCACGGACCCCAACTAGGTAGTCGACAATTACCGACATGGCTCAGTCCACTAGTCAATGATTTCATGAATTTCTGCCATGTTTTGGTTTGGCCGCCCCTAACTTTCTTCCAACCTATTCCTACACTACAAAACAAAGCCCGACGAGGCAGTCGGTGGTTAGGCATACGTAACACATGTTCCAACCACCTCAACTGATGAAGTTTCACCACTTCATCTATTGATCTGCCATTCTTACCTAGCACCCGTTTCCTAATAACAGCGTTGCTCACTCGGGTGTCCCAAGATGTACGAGCAATGCTTCGAAGACACCTGTGATCGAAACCAATAACCGACGAGTATCTTCTACTCTCATTGGCCATGTTTCACAGCCATAAAGTAAGACGGAGCGAACCACTGAGAAGTACACTCGTCCTTTAGTCAGCAAACGGATATCTCGCCTACGCCATAAGTGACGCAGGTTGACAAAAGCCAGTCGATCCTTCTGTATGCGTGCCGAGATGTCGTCGATCCCCAGGCCATCAGCACTGATGAGTCTCCCAAGATAAATGAAGCGGTCTACACGTTCGACCACTTCACTCCCTATCACTAGTTCAGGTGCCGATGAAACCCAATCTTGAAGCAACATTTTGCATTTCGAGGGTGAAAACCGCATCCCGAACATGCTTGCATTGTTGCTTAGGGTAGTCAGAAGACTCTGCATTTTGTCAGCGTCTTCACCAAGTAGGACAATGTCATCGGCATATTCTAAGTCTATAAAGGAGCCACCTAGTAAAAGGTCTACTCCAGAAAATTCAGACGAGGATAAGTTTATTTCTAAGAGCATGTCTATGATAAAATTAAACAAGAATGGACATCCCTGACGGACACCACTTGAAGTAGAGAATTCCGAAGACAGTTTTCCATAGGCTCTCACCCGACCAGTGGTGTTCGAGTATAGAGCTTGTTTAAGGTTAATGTACTTCTTTGGTACACCTTTCAATGACAGACAATGCCACAGAACCTCACGATCCACTGAGTCAAATGCCGCTTTTAGGTCCAGGAAAACAACTATTGTAGGACGCCTAAATGTGTGTTTGTGTTCCAGGACCTGTCTGAGTGTGAAGATGTGGTCTATACAGCCACGTCCAGGTCGAAAACCAGCCTGGTTTTCTCGAGTTTGCTCTTCACGAGCTTTCGTTAAGCGTCGAAGTATTATTGAGGCCAATATTTTAGATACTATATTAGTTAGACTTATTCCTCTGTGATTGTCACAAGAGGACTTCTGTCCTTTCTTATAGATTGGGACAATCAGTGATTGAAACCAGTCGGATGGGATTACGTCCAGTTCCCAGATTCTACCTAAGATCTCAGTCAATCTAGCTGCTAAAACTGGACCACCATCCTTAAATATCTCAGGGGTCAGTCTATCAGGACCTGTAGCTCGCCCTCGCTTCAGATTTCCTAACGCTTTTTCAACTCCATTAAGACTAGGGGCCCTTAGGTCGATTTGCCACTCAGGATGACTGAAGATCGTGGGTAACTGAGGAGTGGCTCGAGACCAGTTGAACTGATCCCTAAAGTGTTCTGCCCATCGATCCAGTCTCCTGGATTGAGAATAAATGAGAGTCCCGTCATTTTCTGAGATAGTCTCACTTACACTAGGATTCCTAATACCAGTTTCCTTGATAAGTCGGAAAAGTTGTCTACTGTTGCCTATCGCCGCTGCCTTTTCCATCGCTTTTGCTTTCGCCACCCACCACTGTTCGCGATCGTTACGTAGGCTTTTTATAAGTCTGCGCCTAAGTTGACTTCGTTCTTCATCATGTTCAGAGCCAGGTGGGATGAGTTTTCGGGCATCCATCAGATCGGTGGATGCTGCTGAGATCCACGGTTTTATTCTAGCCTTATGGTCAACCTCACTAGCAGATATCACTGCTGTTTCCACAGCCTTTTTGATATCATTCCATCCTGCTTCCGGATGGGAATCGCTTAAATGGTCGCCTAACTGTCTTTCTAGTTGTTCCTGAAATATATTTTTCGCCTTATTATCATTAAGTAAAACCCTAAGAGGCTTTCTTACGGTGTCTTTCCTACGCCCAGTAAGCTTCAAACAAATACGCGCTCGCACTAGGGCATGATCTGAATCTATACATCTGCATTTCCTCCTCCACTGGAATCTGGTTTGTTCTCTCCCACAATTCGTTGTTGCTGATGGTGTCTGGCCAACGAATCCGAAGTATTTTGCGTAGACAACTGTTAATAAACACTTGTATTTTCTGGATGATGGCTTTGGTAGTTCTCCAAGTTTCCGCTCCATACAGTAGAACTGTCTTGACATTTGTATTGAATATCCTGATTTTGGTTTTGATTGAAAGTTGTTTGGAGTTCCAGATATTTTTCAACTGTAGAAATGCAGCCCTTGCTTTGCCAATCCGCGCCCTCACATCTGCATTGGATCCACCTTGATTGTCGATGATGCTGGCAAGATATGTAAAGGTGTTAACGTCCTCCAAAGCATCTTCATCAAGAGTGATTTGGTTGGTGCATGTTTTGTTGCATCGGAGAATTTTTCTTTTTCCTTTAGGTATGTTGAGACTTACTGCTGCTACACTGGTCACATTGTATACTACTTGACTTTTTTTTATTGAAATGTTGAAGGTCATTGAAGAGGAAGATTAGGGATTTTCAACTTTTAAACTCCAAATTCAGTGATTTTATAAAGTACCATGCTTTGTCACGAAATTCGAATGTTTTCACAATTCAAACTCTGAATGAATGATTACCGGTGTTCATTTTCTATGTTTAGTGTTATGCTCTGTTATGTTACTTAGAATAACTCCATACACTAGAACAAGTTAAACTGCCCTAAAAATAAAAAGTTGAACGAGGGTTGGATGTGTACGAGTTAGTTATTTTATCTAAAGTCAGAACTGCATATACAAGTTATCCAATTACTTTTGTAGTGAAGGAGAACACAGCTGAGGGCAACCGAATTGTATTTAAACGAAAATTACAGAGTTACTCAGTAAAATATGGAAAACCATATCGTAAACGGTGGTTAATTTGCAAATCTTCAATCAATCGATCATCAATCCATTGTCTGACATTTCACTATTCATTCGTTTCATACAAACTCCATTTGTTTCCATTCTTCCTTTCTCGATTAATCCCCCATCTTCTGCTGCCAGACATTACGTTTACATTCACGTCATATACTACTTATAAGTAGAGCGCACCACACTTTATGCCAAACCCAACATTTTACGACACCGATCAAGGTATGATTGAATGAAAGCGTTTCAGCTTCTTGATAGCCTCCGGATGCCTTTATAAACCATCTCTTGCCTAATTCATTCTCTCTCTAAATTTCAGTTTATTTTCTAATCAATGTCCAATTTTTTATTTTCTAAATAGTTTGTTTTTAATTCACCCAATTGAATTTTTATTCACATCAGTCAAAGAAGAGTTTTTTCTCCTTTTTTGGGGGGGGTTTTATATATAAAAAATGCTCTATAATCAAATTAATAACATTCTTTGAAATTTGTTTTCCCAACCATCTGGAAGGAGATAAGATGTTTGATTAATTTCTAGAAAAAAACGTTTTGGTAGTTTCTCTCTCTCTCTGTGCTGACTGACGACTACTAAAAAATACATGCATAAACATTCAAACATCTAATTCTGTATTTTATGGGGTTGTGAAGATTATTAAAGATTCCCATTGTGAAAATTAGAACAACACATATAAGCGAAAAAAAAAAAAAACTCTTAGGACAATTCACTGTTGTTCTTCGTCTGAACAACATCATCAGCACAAAGTTGAGATAGAAGTAGTGAAGTAATTTCGATTTCTCCAATAAACCACAGCTTATTCTGTTGACCTCGATCTTGATTGATTGTAATTGACCTTAAACCTGTCATTGTTTGCATCTTCCCCCCATTCTTGATCTGTCTCTTGAACCATCCAACGTTTGCCATTCAAGATCACGATAACCGGAACAAGCTACGAGTCATGCACA